CTCAATTATCTTTATTTATTGTCCTTCCACCAAAGATCCTAAAATGGTCTTCAAGTTATTATCAGTTCCTACTGACCAGCACTTTGAAGGAGCAATTACTTTGTAACAGACTACATAAGCATTCCCCACTACACAGCCAGTTGTGTTCTAAAACAATTATAACTGTAATCACACTTTTTAGCAAAAGGGAATGAATGGATTAGTGATACCACTCTACTTTAGAGATTTTTTTTTGCATAAGACATTGCTGTCATTTAAATGACTCTGCCCCTCTATGTTCAATAACAAATCCTTGTGATGGGCATAAAACCTGACTTAAAATTTACATGAGTGAACACGCCCAATCATTCAAATCACGACCAATAATTCAGAAGATACTAGACTATGGGAGGAGCAGAGGCAGAAGCAAGTACAAGATAAATTTTTAACGAATGCTGATTTCCAGAAGGCTGCTTCTAATTTTGTGCTAGAGAAATAGGACTCTGAAACATCTCTTGTAGCACTGTCACAGGGAACTTACTCAGGTTCCTTACCAGGACCAGTAAGGATGTGTTTCTATCCTGCAGCACGATGTCAGTAAAAGAAAAAAGAAATGCCCTTGAAAAGCTTAAGGTTTCTGAGCACTTTTAAAATGAAATTGAAACTATCTTTACTAAATCAAGCTACCCTGAACACAGAAGTGGCTAGGAAGACTGTCTCTTGAGAAACTCTGGAGGTCAAAGTATGATTTAGGGGGAAAGTTCGGAGATGCGGTAATCAATCTAATCTGCAGCAGAGTTCACAAGGAAACAAAAATCCGAAAAAAAGTGAATTTGAGGAGCACCCAACAAGTGCTGGAAAGTAGAGTTGGAAATTCATCTATCAGGCAGGCTGTAACTCTCTTCTGGGTTGTACCCCTACGGAAACCCGAAAAGGCACTCTGTATTAAATAATAATTCGGAAAACTTCATTTCCGCTAAATACGACGTAGCAAGCATCTCTGCGCCCTTGACATCCTCCTCGCGGGTGTGGGGATGAGGGAATGCGGAGCGGTGGGCCGGCCCAGGGTCCGCGCCAGCAAAGCGCTGTCCCGCAGGGCCAGTCAGGACCTCCGCCGCCCCACCCAGCCCGGGAGGAGTAGCGGCGCGCGGGGCCTGTGTCGGGACACAGCGGGCGCATCCAACCCGCACCGCACGCCTCCGCTCCTCCATGACTTGCAGCCCCAGGCTGGCGAACAGGGGGCGCAGACCCTTCGCCGCGCGGCCTGCGCCGCCCCCACCCCGCCCCATCCTCCGGAGCGCGGACCTCCGGGAGCCGTCGCCACTCCAACAGCGGACCCGGGGCGAGACGAGGCTGCACCACCGCCTCGCCCTCCCTCCCCCGGCACCGGCTACTCACGTGCCAGATGGCGAAGAAGATGAGGGCGGCGGTGAGCAGCAGCGCCAGCATGTAGCAGAAGGCCGCGAACGTGAACGCCATGGTTGGGGAGGAGGAGCAGGGAGCAGCGCACGGTGCCAGCGGAGAAAGGCAGCGCAGGGCCCTCTGGGTAAAACCATTCACCTCCGGCGGCCACAACCAAGACTGACGCCGCTGCCGCCGCCGCCGCCACCGCGGCGCCCGCCCTCCCAGCGCGCCTGCGCACTGGCCCAGGTGCTCGGGCGCCCTCTGATGGCTGGAGTCTGCGTCGCACTTATATTTATCCGCACAGCTGATTTTTTTTTCTTTCCTTCCCTTGTTAATTGTTTGAACAAATATTTATTGAATGAGCGCCTAGCATGTTCCAGGTACTGTTTTTTCCTTTGAGATACATAGATGAGTAAGATAATACTTGCATTAAAAGAGCTTAGTATAGTGCCAAAAACGAACACCTAAATAAATCGTTTTACAGTATTACAACCCTGTTAATGGAAGATTAATCTTCCATTAACAGGGAAGTATGTCGCATGTTATGAAAGGTCAGTGAAGGGCACGCAGCCCGCACTGGAGCATTCAAGGATTCCTGGAGTAGACGTTTCTTAAGCTGAGGCTTACACGATGAGAAGTTGTCCAGGCAAAGAGAAGGTGGAATCAGCAATCCAAGGAGAGGGTTCAGCATGAGCAAAGGTCCAGGGGTGAAAGAAAGAAAAAAGCTCAGTGTCTTAGGTGAAACCACCAGCAGTTCTAAATTAGTGGAACATAGAGCAAGACAGTGTTGAAAGTTAGAAAGGGGTGAGCCAGAGTTCACATCACAGAGGGTCTTCTATGCCTGGTTAAGGAGCTCTGACTTCAAGAAATTCCATAAGCCCAAGTTTTCCAAACCGTTTGCTCACCACACACAATTAGACTTTTTCGTTGCAACCAAGCAGATCATACAGACATTGAATTATAGAGAGATGGACATCTGGATATAGAGACAAAGAAATATAGATGTAGCTGAAACAAAAATTTCACAAAACAATACTAAAGATTCATGAGTGCTTTCCTTTGAATTCTTTTTTGCTGTTTTGTTTTTCATGCTGGCTATGACCCACAAAATTGATCCACTANCACAACTAGACTGAAGAACAAAACGACAGCAACTTGTCTGTTCCCCTTCCCCCAATTCCCCAGCACTGTTCCCTTCCCCCCAATACCCCAATAAAAAATCTTTTAAAAAAAATTTAAAAAAAAGTGATCTGACCTCCTTTCAAGTCTATGTATACGGATATCCCTACGGCATGCGGATCATTTCATCTGGTCACCAAACTAAAGACTGAACAAGGGTAAGGCCAACTTCTCATAGCATGATGAGTCAAACAGCCACAAATTTGATAAGGGGAGAAAAACTGCATCCACTCAAAATACGTGGCAAACATGCTTTTGTCCAGATTCTGAAAAAATGTGATTTTAACATTTAGGGTCACTAAACACAGAACTTCAAAGTCAAAATGTACTAAAAAATTTAAATAGGGGCAACGCATCACTTTGTGGTGTTAGGTGTCAAAATAAGAAGCCAAAGGCACCAAGTTTACGGAGGAACTATTTTTGTTGCTGCCACTGATCACACAGGAGACAGAGAACTTAATCTGACCTTCCTTTGGTGGGTTACAAATAGTATTTTTATATGTGTAACAGTGTTACTCAATATTACCAGTAATCCATGGAGTCACATATTTTTAGCTTTTAATATACTGGTTTATTTCCGTTAAAGTTCTTTGCTTCAAAAAAAATGTTTTTTTTTTAATTTATAGAATTTTATAAAATTTACCAACCTGACCTAATAAAAATTCTAACTAAAATAGGAATAGAAAGAAAATAATTAAACATTAAAATGTAAACTCCATGAGAGCAAAGATTTTTGCTGTGTTCACTGCTATGTCCCAGGGCCTAAAATAGTGCCTGGGACATACGTTAAGTGTTCAATCAATATTTATTAAATGAAGGGAAAAAGAAAGTTTTAAAGACATACAGAACTCACTCAAACGGCATTTTCCTTTACTAATAATCTCTAACACAAAATGTTTAAAAAAATAAAGAAATGTTTAAAAAAATAATAAACGTACAATTATAAGATACTAATTTCTGATTACTTATGGACATTACTCAGTTACCTAATGTTAGTTGAAGTATATTCCCAATGCATTTTAGTAATAAAG